GGGGTGCTCCCTCATCTGAAAGATTGGAAAGAAAGAGAGCTCTATAGTGGACACACTTTAGCGTTATCCGTATTCTTTGCTCCGTTTGTAGAATCTGCCTTGTTTTCTAAGAGCTAAACACGCATGGCGTCTCAATAGCTTCCTGTTTGACTTATTTCCATGTTTCTATATTTAACTTTCCAGTCCTTGAATTAAGCCCTTGCCTTTTCTAGCCGATATCAAACAACGTCTGATCGTTGCCCATGACTTTGTCCTGCCACTGTGCATAAATTAACTGAATAAATTAACGAGGAGGCGAAAGAGCCGAAGGTCGTACTAGAAATTTCCAAGCCGAAATCTTGAAGTGATCTCGAGGTCTGTGCTGCACGTTCAAGTAAACACGCACCGACTTCTGTGATATGGTGGGTACCACTCTCCATGTTGTACCTATAGGCAAAAGAAGTCAGTTCGATTCCCACATGGAAGGTATTTGACCTATAATTATCTTCGTCCACCAGTTTGGGGGTAGCGTCCCACATAGGCTGGGCTGACCCTGAAAGACAAGCCCGAAGCAGCCACTATTTTAATATTTGTGTTTTACAGCGCCATCGACACAATTTAGTTCATTTAGGACGCGAGCTTCCTACCTTAAAATATGCCTGTTAATGCCAATCCAAGCTGAGGGGGATACAACATCCTATTAGAAAGGCCGATAGATACTCGATAAAAATTTCTTCCAATTTAGGAATCCAACTTAGATCTCCCAGGCGCCATAGCGAAGCACCTAATTATAACCACTACACCACAGACGCTAGTGAGGCAACCACGATGCGATCTCGGGGCCTTTGGTTAACCCCTTCACTGCTATGACTTTCGTGACTCGGACGTCTTTAGTTTAATTTTTAAAAGTTTTTACGGCGCTTGCAACAGCATAAGGTCATATGAGCGCCTTGGGATGGATGTCAACAGAGAAGTCCAAACGGGGAATCAGGCTTCCTCTGCTCACCTCTCTAGCCTCAACGTCACAAAGTCTGCTTCGACTATCAAGGCACCTCGGAAAGAGCAGTTCACAAGAGAGTGACGAACATACAAAAGTAGAGGAAAATGACGATAGCAAGGATGAGGAAAGAAAAAGCTGCAGTTCCCCCTATGATATTCAGACACAGTAAGACTAAGAGTATGGCATTGAGAAATCAGCCCATTTACAATTCTACTGTGCATAAGAACATGTCAATACCCCCCCCCCCTCCCGCCCTTTGGAAGTGGCTTAAAGACAACTTCAGTCGGTAGCACTGCCCTGTGTGGAGGGGGGGGGGGGGATCTGGACATCTAGTCTGTCCTGCTTCTTCACGATGGTTTAGTCGATAGGCTGCCATAATGAGTGTCTGGATGACGGGTGCATATATCCAGGATGTCCTGTTGCGGGTAGGGAGACGGGACATAGTGTTCGTGATCAGGTGGTCATACTGAATAAAATACAATGTCTGAAGGAAAAACAGGCGGTTGGTTCCTATTGCAGTTTCCAACCCCACCATACTTTCAGATCACGCCTTCCCAGGTGGTACCGTACCATCGTTGCCAACTCCCTTTTATCTAAGTCACCAACAATGATGAGCCTATTAGTAACGGGGACAGAAATAATGGCGGCTTTCTAGTTGTCATAAAAATTGTGTTCGGCTTTATCTGTGTTGGTCATGGTTGCTGCATAAGTGCTGGGGATCACAGATACAGAGATAGAATATGTCGACAAGCTGACACAGAACATTCATAGATAGATAGACAGACAGACAGACAGACAGACAGACAGACAGACAGACAGACAGACAGATAGATAGATAGATAGATAGATAGATAGATAGATAGATAGATAGATAGATAGATAAACGTGTTGACTGTAGAGGTAAACTTTTGTCCGCGTGTAAGAGGAAGCCATAAAACCACCAAGCTATCATTCACTCCTTTGAGCGGACCAATCAGCCTACCGACTATGTGTTGACTGCACAGCAAAGCCGACCCAAGCAGCAAAGATCTAGTATTGTTATTATTATCTCTCACCAGGTCAACGCCCACTCAAAGAGAAACTAGAAATATAATAGCCTGTGCCTCGTTCACAGCGTTCACCCTCCCCAGCCTATCTGGCTTCGTGACCGAGTTTGATTTTGAAGTTTGCAATTGAATCAAAATAATAAATAATATAAAGTCGAATTCGGGCTTGGGCAAACTGTGATCCTCTTCTTTTCGCCTGCCCGTGAAGAACCTTGGCCCCAGCTCAATCAAATTAATTAATTCGATCTGTAGTATGCTCCCAGAATTATATATATATATATATAAAATAATATATAAAATTATTTCACACCTAAAAATAGAGAGTTTATTCACATTGAGCCGAGGTGTCCCTGTCAAGGAATCATGCACCGGACATTCCAAATTATGGCAATAAATTATGGCAAATTATGGTTACGTAACTTCAGAGGAGTAATTCTGGTTTTTCTTGCTGTCTTATTTCAATCGAAGTGATATAGCCCCTATAGACCTGCTGAATGACCAACGAATACAGTTAGCTTTAGACCACGAGCCCCCCCCCCCCCCCACCACCACGAGAATGAGTGAGAGAGAGAGAGAGAGAGAGAGAGAGAGAGAGAGATCAGAGAGAGAGAGAGAGAGAGAGAGAGAGAGAGAGAGAGAGAGAGAGAGAGAGAGAGAGAGAGAGAGAAGGGCTAAGTAGTATGAAGATGTTCCAAATGATATTCTTACATAATATTGAGAAAACTTTAAGTTAACCCCCCCCCCCCCCCCCAGAACAACAAGAACAACAACAAAAAAACAAAAAACCCCGACAAAAACAACAAAACATCAAATAAAATTGCTCTGCATTTTGTACCAGATATCCATGGTTCAAAACAACGGAAGAAGAAGAGAGCGTTCTCTTGCAATTTCCGTTTCCGTTCTAGTCAGTTTCTATTTTGGTTTCCGGGCAAGCGAAAACACAAGATTATGACAAAAAGACGCTGATCACTCACCGCAGCGACAATTTCCCAGCCAAAGAAGTACAATGGACGAAGACCCTACTATCGTTGAATATTTCAGAGAGCATGAACGCTACAGATGTGGATACTGTGGTTCAAAAGACACAAACTATTCCCATGGTTAGTGGAACAAACACGCTATCTTGGCAAATCTTGGCGTTCCCTGCATTACTATTACACACTACTACTACTACTCTCTACACTAGTCTACAGACTACACTCACCGCATTATTGACGCATAGACCACACAATTATAGAGGGAGGACTTCCGTAACGAGCGACCACTATGAGACAGAGCAGAATTGAGGGCTAGGGGTAGGGTTAGGGTTAGGCCTCTTCTTTATTGTGTTTGATGGGGTGGTGGCTCGTTACTGAAGTCCTTCCCAATAATTATAATAATACTCATCACTTTGTCCCACAAGGCACATTTGTTTGTCTTTTTGTTTCAATCTCTAGATCTAGATCTACCACCTCTCACACTGTGTCATATTCTAGTCTCAAATGTTATTAGAGTTCGTGCTTTATATTTATACTCTTCCAATTCTTGGCATCTTGGACTTGTTGGTTGTCATCCATGATGATTCCCACCTCTAGACTCTAGATTTCTAAGATCTAGATAATCTAGAATCTAGATCTAATCTAGAATCTAGATCTTAGCAATGCCCACAGAGCGCGTTTTGTTCTGCTGATTTTTGGCCCCCGCCGCGGGGGTGTTTCGTGGGACGCACTAACGCAAAGGTTGTTGTCTTCAACTCGCTCTCACATCGCTTCTCGTAAATGGATATGAATGAAACTTGGCAGCTAATCAGAAAAGAGGTCAATCTAGTAACTAGTATGCAGTTTGACAACTTTGTACCCATCCAAGAAGCAGTCGAAAACGTTTGCGAAAGTGGTTGATGTGGTGCGCTTTGAAGATTTTTTGGAGCTGTGATTTGTCAAACTGACTGATAAATATATGGAGGTGGGGGGGGGAATTTTATCCTAATTTGATGTTTTGCAGTTAGGTTGCATTCCTGCTCTTTGTGTAGCAATGCCAATAAAAATTTAAATTTTCACTTTTACCCCCTTTTTTTTGGTACCTAAGAAAGAATTTTCAATTCTAAGAATTATGCTTCTTGAATTTTGAGACTCGGTTCATAAATAAAAAAGTTATGGGGCTGTAAAGGTCGGCAAAATATGGATGACCCACATATATAGGAAAATACTCCTAAAAAGTGGACCACGCAGTAGCAGATTCTGTAAGAAAATCGACGATATCTCAGAAACTAATCGGAGTGTTCGAGAGAAACTTGGCTACCCGATGTGTTTTTGAGAGTAGAAATCATTTCTGCAGTCAGATTTACTACCAATTTCGTAGTTATTTTGTTATAATTAAAATTGTGGTGTACATATTACGATTTTGCGAAAAAAGGGTGTCGGGATGAGTCCATTTTATTTATAGCATCGTATCACAACATGGGATCTTTAAGAATATATGTCGGCAGCGTGACTAAATAATTGCAAAGCTTTTTATGATGACTTTAGACCATACCAACCGTAAAACATAAGTTAATTCAATCTAGCATGCCGTACAATTAAAAATTCTTTTTCCATGTTGAGACGCGAACACCCCGAGACGAGATAACCTCGCCTCGGAATACCCCCATAGCGATGTTACAGGGGAATAGAGAGAAAAACAACCGGATGCGCGCGCCCGCCATTGCCCTATTTCAAGTGACCAATGAACGGGCCCGGAATAGTCATGCGGGGATTTGTAGGTCACATACATTTGCCACGAGAGTGAGGGGAAAATGGCCGGTCTCCGTGCGAAGCCGCTTTGGATAGGGGGGTAGTCATGCATTTATGGTCGGGTCTAAACAACTACTTGACACAGAACGTTCAAATTTGAGCACACTATAGAGGATAGATAGGTCTATTACCATCTCGGCATTGAAATTCAAACTCCTTATAGTTTTCAGTGTACACGATACGAAAGTGTTCCCGACACCAAAAGTATAGGTTATTTTATGTGTACGAACTTCAACGTCCACATATCATTAGTTTGCCCTATTTTCTAATTGGTTGCCGAGTTTCATTCGGATTGGTTCGGAAATAGAGCAGACCGAGGTTGACAAAGTTAGTCACCTACACTTCGGCCGAGTTAGTCACCTACGCTTCGGCCGGGTCCGCAAAATCGCCCGTAGACGGGGACCAAATTTTCGCCTCGCGGGAAAGCCCGATTGGCATTGCTACTTTGTGTAGCCTAATTCAAATAGTATTTAGTCTTCAAGACTTCTGGATTTCTTCTCTGGATGTAAACAGATGTATCGTGGACTTTAACGAAAGGAACTACAAGATCACCCATTTTTCTTTTCCCTTAAAATTTCATGCTTCTGTGTTTAGCGGTTTTGGCGTCTTTAAAAATGTGGGAGTAACTAAGGAAAAAGGGGCATTGCCATTTGCGCGTGCTGGGCGAACGACCGGCGGCTGGGAAATTTCCACTGAGTGACGTCATCAGCCATCGGTCGCCTCGGGCGCTACGAACGAGGCCCCGCTTGAACCGGAAAGGGAGGGGGGGGGAAGGATACTTGAAAACTAAACGGGGGCCTTGATAACTTGCTTTTGTGTTGCATTTTAGTCACAATACGAGTAGTCATTTTTATTTGCTTAAAATTACATAGAAAAGAATAGAAACAGAAAAGCAAACATCTAAGAAGTGATATGACATTGTGTTTACGTTATGAAAGCCTATTCCCTCCTCTTGGGAAAGCACACACTTGGACTCGTCCTGTTTGCTCTGTTTGGAAAAGTGAGGCATTAAGATTGTTTTTAAAGAGTGTATGGTACTTATTTAGTCCAGTCTGGGAAGATGGTCCCGTTTATTCATTGTTATCGTTCACGCGTGCGTGTGTGAGAGCGCGCGCGTGCATGTGTGTGCGTGTGTGTGTGTGGGGGGGGGGGGGGGGGTAAATATCTGAACATTTATGGTATGAGTTGTAGCCTACACATGCGAATTATTCCCAGGACTTGTAAAAGTAACTGTAATAATATTATCTAACGCTTTTTAATCTACCACACAATAGGACGCTGTCCAACAATGGATATAAACAGAGACGATTTTATTTTCTATTACAAAGTGTGCATGCTTTTACTAGTAGAGAACTGGATTTATTAGACTATTAAATCCAGCTCTCTGCTTAAATTTTTGACAAATTGATCCAGTGAATTGCTTAGCAAGGAGGAATCTTTTATTATGACTGATAATCTTTGTAAATCTGTAAAGAACGCCACTTTTTCTAAACCTGTAAATGTCTTTACAACTCAAAAAGTAGGATAGATATTAAAGATCTGACAGCATGACTAGATTTTGCATTAAAAACTGTACTAGACTGTCAAGTTTCATTTACATACTCCAAGAATTAGGCGAGCTATGACAAATATTGTCTCAAAACACACCGAAAACCGCCACATTTTTACCTATAAACATCTTCATAACTCAAAGAGTGGGATAGCTATGAGAAATCCGAAAACAGGACTAGATTTTGCACTAGGAAATGTACTGGGCTGCCAAGTTCCATTTAAATACTCAGAGAAATGAGTGAGTTATGACGAATATAATATTGTCTCAAAACTCACCAAAGAACGTCCCATATTTTGGGGGTTTTTCATTATAATATAAAAAAGTCTATCAAAAATTAATTGATTAAAAAATTCTTAACTTTTTTGTTTATTGATGGATTTCAAAAATTCAAATAGTTCCATGCTCTGTGGAGATACAGCTACAAAACGCACCTATTTGCAAACACTTTCTGACAAAAAAATGTTTATCGTGGTCATTGCTGCTATAGATTTAGACTCTAGAATCTAGGCCTATAGGGCCTAAGTACTCTCTATAGATCTACTATCTAGATCTAGTTACTTTCTATCATTAGATCTAGAATGTATCACTCTCATACACTCTATTTAAATATTTATCAAATTTTCCTTATATATGTCTTTTTGTGATACAATTTGTGGCTTTATAAATTCGAAGTGGCTATTTCTCTGAATGTTCGGGAAAATAAAGTTGAACTCTATTTCTCTGAACGGTTTCCGATCTCGAGATTTTTTGGTTATTTGCGAGATTTAGGCGTCATCCTTTCATTCTGCCTTTCTGCGAGGACTGGGAAGAAGCATTTTTTGCGTCAAATTCAATTTCTAGAGCTAGAGATTTTTAAATATTTGAATATTCAGATACTTCAGTTGTGGTTGGGGCAACGTTCCGGACTACTAGATATACTTCATTTGAAAATACCTTCAAAAGGTAGTGCGAGAAAACAAGATTGCTCGACTTTGGAAGTAACCTATTTTGCATTTAGTCACCCAGCAAAAACTAAAATTCTTCACGTAAAAAAAAAATCCCTCCACACACCACCCCCCCTCCTGTTCACACCTTACAGACTCACACACTTACACACACACACACACACACACACACTCATACGGGCCACTTCTTTCGCTTATTGTCAACAAATCTCGAGAACGGAAACCGTTTGGAGAAGTAGAGTTCAAGTTTATTTTCCCGAACGTTCGGAGAAATAGAGCCGGCCTTTTAGGCCTTATAAATTATTAACTAGTTAATTTTTAACTCTTGTCCTGTGTCTGTGCCGAGAGGCGAATCTTATCAGCAACCGATTACGTCAGACGTGCGGGGCAGGCCGCCGGGGTCACTCAGTGTGTACTGTTGGTGTACAGCACCCGCGCCGGGAAACGTGTGTTTTTGCCATGAATACCGTGGGAGTGTGTTAATCGATGATGAAAATAACGCTCTATCTTTCATAGTTTTCTATTTATAAAGTGTTACAAACACATGAAAAACCCCCTCTCACAAGCTGATAAGACATTACGAGTGGTTACGCCCATTCGAATAACCTTTCTGGACGCTCTTGTTGTTATGAATGACCTGAGGTTCGAAAGGGGATAATATAGGTCAATTTCTGAATGTTTTGCTCTCAAATTACAAGTTCTTTGTACCTGCACAATGGTATTCAAAACTATCAAACAAGCTTATTTTTTATCAGGTAGTATCATTTCATACAAAATCAAGCTCATTTGAAAGATTTTGTATAGAAAAATGGAAGTCTTGTTTCCTGACTATCCTTTCGAGCTCCTCATGTCTAAGTGGGTCAATTTCTTCTATAATTTCATTGGACGAACATCTAGAGCTACCAACTTGGCGTCTTTTGAATGAGACGTATGCCTCGATTACGAACCAACGCAGGCGGTTCTAGAAGAAGGCCACAAACGCACACAAACTCAAGAAGACTGACGCACACTCTCTTGACCTGCGTGAATGGGGATCAGACTAGGGACCCGAATTTCACGTAAGATGATGGGCGTGCGCTGAGCCAGGGGCTACACTGATTCGGGACCAGAACATAGGCGAGGTGCCGAAATAGGCTTATCGGGCGACATAAACCCGGCTCCCGCAGGACGAGGGTTAAAGTCAGTATTAGACAAAATCTTGCCTACATGCCATGTGTGTGACATGTGACATTATTCTATCATTGTTATTATAGACTAAGGCAGACCTGTGCTTTCAGTTTTTTAAGTGGTGAGTTAAAAATTATCGTTTTCATTACAGGAATGTGGGCCCATCAGATGACTGTACAAGATTATCAAGATTTGATAGACAGAGGCTGGAGGAGGTATTGTAACTTTGTTTCATGCCAGCAATTTTGTTGTTGTTTTGCTCTGTCTATACCTTTACGTTTGACACTTTTGTAAAACAGCTAGTATGAAATGGATAGTTAGCAGAAGTACAAAGTTATATTTTAGGCCATTCCATTAAAAAAATGAAACTTCAGAGACACACGTGATGCTAGGGTGATGACCTGCTGGAAAAAGAATTCTAAGCAACAAAGCCCTTTTTTTGTGTTGTTGTTGGAAGATGGTTGCCTGCAACAAAGAATGGCTCCATCAGTGTGTAGATTTGTTTTTTCAACAGTTCATCATTTCTTCATTACTAGTGTCACTGTAGTTTCATTTTTCAGGGGAATTTTTGTTTCACATGTAGTAGTCTGTGGCAAAGACTTGTAATTTGTAAGATAAGCTAGAATTTCAAGTACGCAATCTTTATTATTATAATTTTAGTGAGTCAACGTAAACCAAACTCATGAATCTGAAAACCGATCTATCTAAAGAGAAAGTAAATAAAATCCCCATTTTTTTTCCTTCTATTTGAACAACCTCCTTGAAAGGTAAAACTTAAATTGAAGAAAATCCGGTGGTCCTGCAGTTTTCAGCTGAAGTGGACTCCTCTGTATTCTCTTTACTTTAGTTCTACTTTGAATTTTTCACAAGAAACACAAATACTTGAAAAGTTACTTTTTGAAACCATAACATTTAAGCTGATGGATGCATGTTAACAATATCAGCAACAATAATGGTAGGAGAGGAGCTAAAAGCAGCAGTTGCAGCAACAGCTCTACTAAAACACAATGACTTCTTGATGAATTTATTTTGACACCCAGGCTTGTACACTGTTAATTAAGTGAATTTCTTGTTTTTAATTTGACACCTAAACTCACATTCTTTAGGTGAATTTCTTGTTTTTAATTTGTGACATCAAAATCTAACTGCTTGTTGGTGAGTTTCTTATTGATTTTGTTTTTGTTTCAGGAGCGGTAAGTACTGCTACAAACCCACCATGAAGCTCACCTGTTGTCCTCAGTACACCATTCGCTGCGACACTTCTGGGTTCAAGCTTAACAAATCTCATAAGAAGGTCATCAAGAAAGTGAATCGTTTTCTCATCACTGGGGTCAAAAGTAGTGCGGAGGAAGATGCAAAGGACAACGATGGGCAGGAGAAAGAATGCGGGGATGTGGCGGTGGGCGGCTCAAAAGCTGCGGAGAATGCTTTGGCTGATCGTGCCAGGCCAAGTGATATAGAGATGCCAAGAGATATTAAGGTAAGATGAGAAGTAATAAAGTCCTCTAGACCACTACTAACTACTAACAGTATTGTGTGTTACTTGTAGTCAGTAACTTGACACTGGAGATACAACATTCTGTTGTCTGTTTGAATGTTGATCTTTCGGGCTACTGCTTTAGTGCTTTTAGTGTCACACCTCCAAAGATGCTTTTATAACGAAGTCTTCAATTGCATTCTCTTTTTCAGAAAAAGAAGGCAGATAATCCTGAAACCTCCACCGAGATAAAGGGGGAAGAACCTGTTTCCATGGTAACTGGGAATGAAGCAAAGCAGCCCAGTGCCCCCCTCAAAGCGACCACTACTCCGTCCAATTCTGAAAAAAGCATTCCGAGACAAGGTGAGGTTGTGGGGATTGAAACTGTCTGGTGGAAGTTCAGTGTGTTATACCCTGACTGTATCAAATGAATTTGACTGGCAGTGTTCTCTCAGTATTAGATGAGATGAAACTTTTCTGTACTCAGGTTGATGTTCCCAGGGGACAAAATGTTTCTTTTAGTGGGGGGGGGGGGGGGGGGGGGTTAAGATCTGAGTATGTTTTTCTTAAAATCTAATGTTTCTTCTTAATACTGTCAGTATCAGACCCGATACGACTGACATTGATGGAAAAAGGACTTGGTAATACAGGTTGTTATGATTTATATGCATTATTTTCTGTACTTCATTTGTTTTTATAGGAAAACTTTCATGCAGTAGTCAGCTTTGTCTGTAAGAATGAGGAATAATAAGAAGAAAAGAACTAGGAAGACTTTTGTTTGTTTACTGACATTTACTGGTCTGTTTTTATTCAGGCTCTGGGGCAGATCCCAACAAACCGGCATGTCGAAAAGCTAAAGAGATCAGGGCTGAGAGGCGCCAGATGAAGCAAGCTAAAGCAGGGGACTCCGGGGTCCAACAGGTACGTTATGTGTTGTTGTTGTTGTTAATCCAGTAACCTTTGTTGAGTATTTGCGCTTTGGCCCAATGCCACATTAAAAAAGGTAGAAGAAGTTTCAACGTGTACTTTGCTGCAGTATAGGATGTTGTCTGTGGTAGGGACTGGAGGAAGAAGTTGCCTTCAGAGATCCTGTAGTTTGGGACTTTCAAAATGCTGATGTTTGCCTGCTTCGCAGACGTGGTCACAAAGCAAGCGCATTGGTCGTTTTACTTGGGTTTGATTCCGTTTAGGTGGTAGTTTTTAGATATATGCCACCCCACCAGGGTAGTGCTACTGACTGAAGTTGTCTTTAGGCCTTTCTCAAAGGGGGGGATATTAACATGTTCTTATACACAGTAGAATTGTTAATGGGCTGTTTTATCAATGTCATGCTCATACCGTGCTGGAACAACATAGGGGGAACTGCTGCTTTTTCTTTCCTCATCCTTATTGTCATCATTTTCCTCTATTTCTTTTGTATGTTTGTCACTCTCTTGTGAACTGCTATTGCCGGGGTGCCTTGATAGTCGAAGCAGACTTTATTCTGTTGAGGCTAGAGAGGTGAGCAGAGTAAGCCTAATTCCCTGTTTGGACTTCCCTGTTGACATCCTTCCCTTGGCTCTCATATGACGTTGTGGAGTTGTGAGTGCCATAAAACCTTACTAAGACAAGATATTTGCTGTGTTCAAAGGCAAAACATTGTTGTTTGTTGCCTTTTATGGAGGGCTTTTATGCTTTTAGTTATGTACAGCTGTTTGTTCTTATGAATGATAGTCACATTAACCTTTTCACTTTGTGCCTCCCTGTATGTGTATTCCCTCAATATGCGCTGTTCTGCCTTGTGACTTCCACAAAAATAAAGACAGTTTGGGGTAAATTGAAAGTTTCGAACTATGTGGCTAGGTTCGCTATGTTGTGAGATTTGAAGCACATATGTGGCACGACATGGTGGAATCAGGCGCTCGTCAATTTTTGGGCATATTGGGTTATTGATATCATCTGGAAGCCTCTTCCTTTGTCTTGCTTTTGGTGAAAAAAATATCAATCTATGTCGAATAGAAGTGGAGGTATTTGCAACTGAAAGACGTGAGGGTCGTCTGGTTTCAGACGTAAAATTAGTGAGAAAATGGCCGCCAAAGTTTGGTACTTCTATATCTTGAGAGTCCTTGAAAACTGAAAATGTACATATTTTGTGCCATTAATGAATGCTTTTCAGTAAAATTCACACAGGGATGTGTTTTATATGGGCATAAAAGATGTTGAGCCAAAAAAAAAAAAAAAATTTTAAATGGTCAAATTGGAGGAAAAATACCTTTTTCTTCGGTTTCTTTATTTTGACGAGCGCCTGATTTCACCATGATGCTTCACGTATGGTACGCGGCGCAATACATGAAGTTTAATGAAACTGTGTTCATATAAAAGTTTACTGTCATTTTGTAATTTTTATGTGACTCATAGGTCCCTTTGAAGTATCAATGGGCAACATGGTTCAGCTAACCAAGTGGCTCATTAGAGAACTTGCATGTGTTATTTCATGCACTGTTGCCACGTGTTATTTCATAAAAAGATTATTGTGTCCCTTGCTTCTTCTTTTGTTACTTCTCTTCTTTCTACTATTATTTTACCTTTTGTGTTTCTCAGAAAAAGCAGAAGCAGAGCAATGAGAAATCTCTGGAAGATTTCCTTAGTGAACCAGACAAGGCAGAGAATCCTGCACACAAATTAGAGGTAACCATAGTGATGTATGTGTTTGTGTGGGTTGGGAGGGGGGGGGGGGCTTGTCATGTCAACCCTATTCTCTCCTTTGAGGATGTACATGCATCTCAGGCTGAATAAATTTTGTTTACAGGCATTTCCAGACATATTTATGCCCCCACTATTGCATTGAAGAATATTTTTAAAAATTTTATGCTCCCTTTTTTCTATAGGTCCCAGCATTTTGAGCAAACTACCTGCTTTACGTAAGAGATGATTTCACAAAAATGAGGAAAGAACAAGTTAGAGGAAGATGGAAAGATATAAAGGAAGAGAAATGAAAGTCATAAGCGTATATATATCTTTGTAACCGTGGCTTTCCTTTCCTTTCACTAGCTTTGATTGATTAGGTCAAGTCCAGCAAGCATTGCCTTCTTCAACACCTTGAAGGAGAAGGAAAGAGACCAGTGAGAGAGAAAGGGGTAGATGTTAAAAAAAAAAAAAAAAAAGGTATGCGATGGTATGGAAGTGAAGGAAAGTTTAACATCACAGGCATTATATTTCTTTATGACGATGACCTTCCTCCCTTTAGCTGCGATTGGTTAGGTCGAGTCGTCCGAGCAGGACCTTCACCGAGACCTTCAAGGACGCTCATGGGATCTATCACAAGTACCAGATGGCCATCCACAAGGACCCTCCAGAAAAGCCCAACGTAAAGCAGTACACTCGCTTCCTGTGTGACTCTCCCCTCACGGTAAACCCACGAGAGGAACGGACGGGCCAACGAGTGTCGCCGCTGTGACCTGTCTCTGTGACACAGGAGTTTATACTAGAACATGCAGCGTGCAGTGTGCTCATAGATTGATGAGGGGGCTCTCATGGACTAGAGGTTAACGTGTTCGCCTGTCATACAATGGTCTCGGGTTCCGAATCCGGATAGCGACGGAAAATTTTCTTCTCCAAAAATGTTCTCCTTTTACATCCTTTCCTGCTCTCTGACAACTTTCTGTTCGTCTGCTTTCGTCTCTACTTTCTGCCCCACCCCGTCACCTCCTTTACCCCCTCCTCTGGACTCCTGACTCTTTCTGCAGCCTTTCTACTGCTACTCCTTGGCTCCTTCTTACTTCTGTCCTTCAGCCACACCCCTGATCTTATGGTAGGTAAGATCTACTTCTAGCATTCTCGGACAAGGGCGAAAAATCTTGGAGGTCCCGTGTGCAAGTTGAGCTCGTTAAAGATCCCTTGGTTGTCCAAAAATGATAAGAGTAGGCTTCAGTTGCCATGCGGGTAAAAATTCAAAATTTCCTACCAACTGAAAATGTTTGGTGTGTCCCGTGTGCTCATATCTTCTTCTTCTCGATCACATCACACTTGAAGTCTGGTATCTGTCATAAATTGGGCCGTCCTGCTCAGTTCATCTGTCAGCCTGTATAGCTTCTCTTGTAGCGTCAGTGGGGTTGGCCACGTTTCCTGTCTCAGGGCCCTGTGTGTCTTGCAGTGCTGAAGGATATGTTCAACAGTTTGGTCCACCTCTTTACACTGGCATTTTGGTGATTGTACTAGTTTAAAACATTTGTACATATGTTGTCTCAGTCTTGTGTGTTGTGTCCTTAGTCTGAAGAAAATCACTTGTTCTTGGCGGGACAGCTCATGGTAGCCATCTGGTGTCTGAGGTGCTTTAAATAGTGTATTTATAATAGTTTTTATTTCTGTGTAGTTAACGCTGTTGTCTGGTTGCTCTTTCTGTGCTCTTAGTTTGGCCATCCTGTCTGCCTGCTCATTTCCTAAGACACCACAGTGTGATGGAATCCACTGCAGCATGATCCTCAGACATGGGATGCCTCAGTTATTTTTCGTAGCCTTGGTAGTTTGCCGGAAGTGATTGCCTGCAGTACTGACATGGCATCTGTTAGGAATACTATTTGGCTTTGGGGGTCTACCACATTCTTGATGATGTTTGCTGCATGTATTAGAGCCTCCGTCTCTGCCCTGTAGTTTGTACAATGTCGCCCTATTGGGACTGCCTCTGCTTGTCTTCGTCCATTTGGGAACTGTACGTACACTCAGGCTCCTCCTCTTTTCACAGCATCAGTGGCAGATCCGTCTGTATAGATCCTTATTAATGCTTCTCGTGGGTATCTTTGTTCAAGCATGGACAGAGTGAGGGACTTCTTGCTCAGGTCGCTGTGGTCATCTTTTGTGGTGAACATAGGAATGGACGTGTGTATAATTATGTTTGTGTTTTTCTTTTCCCATGATGGTGCCTCTGGGGTATGGTTGAGTATGTTAACTGTGGCTGGTAGATGGTCCTGTAGGGATCTTTGGATTTTTCTGCTTTCTTTGATGAAGTTGGATCTTTTAAGTCTTGTGGTGTTTGATCTCGCTGTTCTTGTGTGCAGTATATGATCCTCCATAGCTGTGGCCTTGGTGTACTGTATGAGAGCCTTGCATTCCCATCTCCTCTGCAGGGCCACTATAGATGTTGTTTGTTCCATCTTTTCTATAGGCGTTGACCTCATTGCTCCAGTGATTATTCGGAGAGCCTGGTTTTGCACTTTTTCCAGAGTGAATTTGTGAGTCTGGTGTGCTCATATAACTTTATACAGTTGCGAGTGCGTAAAACACATTCCATTTAAAAAGAAGTAGATTGATGGAAGACATAGTATGACAGTTTGGGTGAAGGTCGTTTGCACCTATCTGAAATTCTTATTGCTTTTGGAATTTTACTCTTGATAGACTGAAATAATGTTCCCAGATATTGGCGTTGGTAGCCTAGTGGTTAGGCTACCGAACATGTAATTGTGAGATTGCGGGTTCGGGTGTTCGAGCCTCAGCTCGGGCCGGCATTGTGTCCTTGGGAAAGGCATTTTACTCAAATTTCTCACTTGGCTCGGTCCTTTCGGAGATGGACGTTGAACTTGGAGGTCCCGTCTCTTAAATAACCTAACAGTGTTGATGTATATGTTCCAGGACAATTATTTGTTTTCAGTACAGTTTTGTCTGGTTGTGTATTATAAGACAGCGTTTATTCTTATTCTCTATCCAGTAGGGATTAAATGATATCTGACTGTGCGATGATAGCGTGACCATTTTCTTAAAGTTTTTCTCAGAGGGTTGCGCCATGTCTCATTGTGTACCCAGGAAAGCATTTCTTCTTACTCACTTTCCAATAAGGATCTTAACTCACTTGCGACTGGGCCCTTTCACTAGTCACAAGCGTTGAAGACTGGCGTTTTTGGGGGTATTTCAATAAATCACCACAACTCTCAGAATTACCCTATTGTAATTATTTTTTGACACAGTAAAGTAACATTCAAGCTAAATCTAATACAAAAAAACAAAGTTGTCTAAGTTTAATACTTTAATTTGTATGATTTTTTAAAAATTGGCATGAATTTGATTTTCCAAAAAATTTCCAGAGACGTGACAAGTGGAATGAAATTCACTACAACAACAAAAATAAAAGTTCAAAGTGTTCTGGTTTGATTTGTATACATGTGCGAGTGTTTGGTGAATATATAAAAGCTGGTCTGTGCATTGATTCAGACCCATACACTGAAAATACATAGACAGATGTACGGCACGGCGTTGTGATTTCGTTGCGCGAAAAACAACACCGGTACTAGTGCTAGATCTAGCCCTAAAACTACGACTCGGGCCGTGTTCAGGTACATATCCAGGATCCTAACTATTAGACACATCATATTCTGAGACACTAAAACTAGTAAAACGTACAGAAGTATAGAAAACGGCGAAATTTTGTGATTCTGGTTCATGCGACTTCTTCGACCGTTACTACGACGCGACTGTCGGATTACTATGAGCTGTATAGAAAAAAACAAAGAGCGAGTTCCGGTCTGTTCAACCCCAGTTGGGGTCACTGTCCTTCACCTTCAATAACTTAAAAACTACCGGCCCCAGAGATACGAAACGAAGTCTAAGTAGCTCAGGCTTGGCCAAACAAGGGTACGAGGCGGGTCTCGCGATCCGTGCGTGATTTGTAGAGCGAAAAAAAAATTCCAAAGTTGGTCACGCAGGGCTCGTGTGACCCGTCGCGAGCGTCGCGGCGGGGGTCACGCAACTGTTGTGTGACCCGTCTGAAGTGAGTTAATACCGGACTGCTTCACGAGAGCGCTACTAATCTGAACATTTGTCGTTCAAATTGCGCCGTAAAACTCATTTCTTACTGTGTGCACTCATTTCACACCCGTTGTGTCTCTACTCAAATGAATAGAACTAAATTTTTCCTTGTGGAAGGGATACTTCCATCATTTCTAAAAGACAGGACCCGTTTCTTTTTAAAGAAAACTTTTTAATGTGTTTTAAAGCTTAATCTTGTGATTCACTCTGCTAAATGGTGTACCATGTTTAAGATATTTTCAACGTTCAGGTGAATTGAATCGATAGCTCTGAAGAACTGCTTGGTTTGATACACTGCTTTCTTGACGCGTTCATGGAAAGAGACTGGCATCTTGTCCATTGAGCTGGCTTTGCATCGCAAAGCGCAGCTGGCAAATATTTTTAGCCAATTATTATTTAACAAATGTAGAAGAGCGGTTGCCAGGAAGGCTCTTTCCAGTCTATGAATATTTGCAATGGTTTTTCTTTTCCAATCTATAAATGTTGCCGCACTGTGGCATGTGCCCAGTGATACAGAATAAAAATAAGAGATAAATAAATTGCCTTGTGCATCTGGTCAACAATTTCAACACGTTGTCCATTATTTTCCATGCTGTACTGAACTGTTCTCCTTGTTCTCTTTCTTTCTTCGGTTCAAAGTGTGTCTGTGATTATCAGCTTTGTTCCTTGCTTAAGTCTTTGTTTTAAGTACAGTTTTTCTATCGTTTGAAAGTAATGAAAACTATTCTGCCACTTCAAAAAAGGAAGTTGTTTCTTGCGACTTGTCCACGATTTTAGCAAGCTCTGCATCGTCATCCATGCTATACCTGATTGTTCTCCGTATTCTTTTTTCCCCTTTTTGATACAAAGTGTATCTGTGATTGACAGGTTTGTTTCTCTGTTTTTGGATCAATTTTCCAACATTTGAAAAGATCAAAACCGTTCAGAGGGGTAAAAAAAAAAAGACGTCGACTTGTGACACTTCTCAGCAGATTTTCTCAGCAGACTGAAGTCCATCATCGCCCACTCTGTACCTGATTGTTCTCCTTGTTCTTTTTTCCCTTTTTGATACAAAGTGTATCTTTTTAATGCCAGGTTCGTGTGTTTGCTTTCCGTTCAATTTGCCCTACGTTTGAAAAGATTAAAACCATTCAATTGGGTGAAAAAAAAGACGTTAACTTGTGACTCTTGTTGGCAGATTTTATCCTTCTGTCCATCATCGCCCACACAGTACCTGATTGTTCTCCTTCTTGTCTTTCTCTTTTTTTGTAGACGAGGCTGTACCGGTCAGCGCCAGAGTCCATTCCGTTCCGTGTGAGTTTCCTTGAGTCGCACTCCGTCTACCAGAAATATCAGATGACCGTTCACAACGATGGCCCGGCAGATTGTGACAAGATGGGGTTTAAAAACTTCCTCGTGGATTCACCCTTAGAGGTGATATATTTTTTTTTTATTGTGGCTCGTGCGATGACTGCTCGAAAACGTAAGAAATTCTACTTTTAATGGCGGGTTTGGACCCAGAAATTACCGTATTGTTAGGCTTTTCTACAGCTTTTCTCTCTTTGTGTATCCTTCGCTTGCACTACTGTTTAATGTTATGCGCCTTTTTTTTTTTCAAGAGGGTTGGGGGGAGGGGAAACAGTGTCAAGGCCAGTGTTACCACTGCTGCTTTGCTCACTTCTCAGGGGCGAGCACAAAATGATGAATGTCATGAGCCCTCGCTTCAGTGTTATTCTTTATTTACGATATTGCTGATATTGTAAGACGACAAAATAATGTGCAAATCCTTTGTGGAAACTCTGCATCTGTTCAATATTGCCGCAATGTAAAAATTTCTGCACTGTGCATGATTGGTATAAGCTCCTGTGCTCCTTCCTCTCTTTGTGTTTTGTTTTTGAAATATTTGCATATACATGTATATATACATTTATATGATCATGGCAACTGCTTTTTGTAATAATGTTTGCATGTGCAAAGCTTTAGAGAGATTTTTCATGCAGTGTGCAAGCCATTTCAGTTCAGTTTTGAGAAACTCGCTTTTAAAGATTAAATGTCAACTGTTCAATGTAATTTTTGTGTAAGTTTAAAACAGTTCTTTGTTTTTTGTGATGACATACATTTCCTATATATATGATATTAAGTAGTTTCCTCTAAAAAGTTGTTTAAATGAAGGACTTAATTACTTTGTACTGACACCACGGATAGACAATGTGATTGTACTCCTAGTCTCCTCTAGAGATCTATAGGACAGTTTTATATTCTCTCTCTCTCTCTCTCTCTCTCTCTCTCTCTCTCTCTCTCTGTCTCTCTCTCTCTCTTTCTCTCTCTCTCTCTCTCTCTCTCTCTCTCTCTCTCTCTCTCTCTCCCTCTCCCCCCCCCTCTCTCTCTCCCTCTCTCTCTCTCTCCCTCTCCCCCCCCCCCCCTCTCTCTCTTCCTCCTTTGCCTCCACCTTTTCCTGCCACGTTTGTCTTGGTCTTCCTCTGTTCCTGTAACCGTTGGGATTCCAAACAAACTGGGTGGTTGGAAATGGAGAGTGCCACTGGTAGGTCCTACTTCTTTCCTTTCCCTCTATCATTCATTGCTGTCTGTTTGTAATACTTTTTATGTCCTGCTAAAGGATCATTATTGCATTGATGTTCCTCTCTTTACTGCAACAAAAATGTACAAAATCGTGCAATGTGCTTCTCTGTCATTTGATCTCCTCACACTACTCCATTAACAGTCCCACCAATGTCTGTGGTATATCAGTTAGGCGCATTGTTGTCGTGCACAGAAGACCTGAGTTTGATTCACTAGTGGGGAGACTTTTCCAAGCATCTCAGCCGCTCTTTTTCTGGAATGTTGTATCCCTCTCCGCCTGTTAAATGATTCAAATTTTCTCAATGTGGACGTAAAAACATGTACTTAAAAAAAATTTCTTTTTAAGAAAAAAAACTTATCACAATATCATTTCCCTTGTCCCCTTGCAGGAGAAGCATATAGAAGGTGGAATTCCGGATGGGTATGGATCATTCCATCAGCACTACCTCCTGGACGGGAAAATCATCGCCGTGGGTGTCATTGACATCCTGCCGGCTTGCGTGTCCTCTGTCTATTTCTACTACGACCCGGAGTACAGCTTCCTCGGGCTCGGGGTCTACTCTGCTCTCAGGTGCTTATTTCAGTTTCTGCTTTCCCTTTGTTGATCCTGTACTCAGGGATGCTTGTTTTTTCCCGCAAATTTTTTCCTGTTTATTTCCTCTCATTTAATATTTGTTTTACTTTTACCAGAAGTATATTTATAGATTTAATCAGTTGTTTTCTGTTTAACCCCATATAAGTTGTGTCTATTGTCTTTTTTTTCTCTTTTTTTAACAAATGCTATTTCGTAAGTTTTCTGGTAATTTCCCAAAATACCACTGACATCTTTGTGTACTGTAAAATTGAAATGTAGCAGTTCTTGTGTTCATGAAGGGATTGAAATTCTTTCAACTTTTTTCATCACATGTATAGAAAATAAATAAGATTTCCTGTACGTGATAAGGATAATATAATGTAGGTTTCAACAAGACGCTATAACAAATTTGGTCCCACAAAGTTTATAGTTTTATCACTAAGTCAAATGTCTTCTTTTTTTTTTTGGTAAGTGTTTTACGGCGCTCTCAACTGCATAAGGTCATATGAGCACGCGGGACACTTTAACCATTTTCAGTTGGTAGGATATTTTGAATTTTGCCTGGGTTGCGGCTGAAGCCTACTCTTATCGATTTTAGACCATCAAGGGATCTTTAACGTGTGCAACCTGTTCACGGACCTCCGAGAATTTTCGACCTTTTCCGAGAAGGCTAGGTGTAGATCTTTCCTACCTGAAGATCAGGAGTGTGGCTGAAAGACAGCAGTAAGAAGGTGCCAAAGAGTAGCAGTAGACAGACTGCCGAAAGAGTCAGGAGCCCAGAGGAGGGGGCAAAGGAGGTGAGGGGGTGGGGGCAGAAAGTGGAGACGAAAGCAGACGACAGAACATTGCTAGAGAGCAGGAAAGGAGGTGAAAGGAGACAATTTTAAAGAAGGAAATTTTTCTGTCGCTACCCGGATTCGAACCCGGGACCTTTGAATGACATGCCAACACTTTAACCTCTAGGCCACAAGAGCCCCCTAAGTCCTAAGTCAAGTCAAATGTCTGCCTGTTCAAAGTGCTGCAAAAAACTTCAAAGTACTCTGTTGCAGAAGATTATTATTGTCAAGTGATCTCCTGAAAAAGATTATTGACAATATTATTATGTTGTTGTTCTTATATTTGTAATCAGCTTTAATATTGACATGATGTACCTCTACTCAGAGAGATTGCCTTTGTCATTATTTCAGTTGTTAAAGTTGTAATTATTGTCATTACCGTAAATATTGAAATTGTTTTAACTTGTCTTAGAGATTGCCTTTGTGAGGTTACAGTGTGATTATTTAAGTTGATTATGTTATCATTATTGTCATTATCACAAATAATGAAAATTGTTTTAACTTTTCAGAGCGATTGCCTTTGTGAAGCAGTTACAGTGAAATTATTGTTGTTGTTGTCATTATTGTCACCATCAGTTGTGTTGAAATTGTTTTAACTTTTCATTCAGATAGATTGTCTTGGTGAAGCAGCAACAGTGTGATTATTGTTGTTTTTCTCATAATTGTCATCGTCAGTAATATTGAAATGGTTTTAGCTTTCCAGAGAGATTGCCTATGTGAGGCAACCACAGTGTGATTATTGTTGTTGTTTTTAATTATTGTCATCGTCAGTAATAATGAAATTGTTGTTTTTAATTATTGTTATCGTCAATAATATTGAAATTGTTGTTTTTGATTATTGTCATTGTCAATGATATTGAAATTGTAATATTTAATTATTTTCATTGTCAGTAATATTGAAATTATTTTACCTTTCCAGAGAGATTGCCTTTGTGAGGCAGCTGCAGCGTTTGGCCCCAGAGCTCAAGTACTACTACATGGGTTTCTACATCCACTCCTGCCCCAAGATGCGCTACAAGGGACAGTACACCGGCTCGTTTATCTCCTGTCCCGAGACCTACTCCTGGGTGCCCATCGAGAAATGTCGCCCCAAACTGGACGCAAGCAACTACGCACGTCTGGAGGAGGAGGGAGTCGGTATGTTGTAGCTTATACGCTGTTAGTTCAAGGAGGTGGAGGGAGTCGGTTTGTTGTAGCTTATACGCGGTTAGTTCAAGGAGGTGGAGGGAGTCGGTTTGTTGTAGCTTATACGCTGTTAGTTCAAGGAGGTGGAGTTACTTAGAGAAGTTGAAGGACTTTCGCTGGGAAAGAAGGTGGTGAAAAGGTACAGGTAGATAAAGAATAAGTTACTAAGAGAATGTGAACAGATTGGCGATGATAGCAAAAAATCTTATTTGTTTTCATCACACAGCAACTTGGCAGCTACCTTTAATCAAAACATTTTAGGAGCATTTCTAGTCAAAATTCAGACCTGCCTTTGACTGAGCATAGGAAGTGGATAATTTACTATCGATCAGTCAAATTTGTAAAAAGTGTTAACTTGTGGGTTAGCCAGTTTTGTCGTTAGGGTGATGATAAGTTTAAGGCCCCCAAACATTAGCATGAGGACAAACTTTAAAGCGATGCTGTTACTAAAAACAAGCGAAGAAAATAAATTGTAAGCTGACTCTATTTTGTACTTACTCAACTTTTCATCTTCTGTGTTTGCACCTGGAATTCAACGCTTTTGAAGTGATTTACATCAAATCAAGAAAAATTAAGCCAATACAAGGTAGCACTAAGCCAGCAATGTATTGAGTTCTCTGTTTTGTCTGTTTCGGTTACCATTCCACTATATGGCATAATGTGTTGTTTAATATACTGGCCTTCAGTAATTTACAACCCACCCCCCTTATTGCTGTCTCTGTTTTTAGTTTGTATTTGTTATAATTTGTCTTATTTTATGTTGATTTCTTCCTGATTTCTCTTTGTATATTAGTGGTTAGTGAGTACTCTGCTGTGGTCTGCTTCTTCCACATTTTTTCGCTTTTACTATATTCTTATTCTGGTACTAACTTAATGTATCTGTTATTATAGGTGCTTGAAATAAGTTTCAAGACACTTACGGGTCATTGATGGGTGCTCTGGTGTGTTCGGCTTTTTCCACCTCTTCTCAATATTGCGTTTGCCCCCCCAGGGCAGTGCTACTGACTGAAGTGTCTTTAGGCCACTCCTGAAGGGGGGGATATTAACATGTTCTTTTGCATGATAGAATTGTAAATGGGCTGATTTATCAATGTCATGCTCATACTGTGCCTGAACAACATTTCTCATCCTTTCTGTCGTCATTTTTCCTCTACTTCTTTTGTATATTTGTCACACTTTTGTGAACTGCTATTTTCGGGGTGCCTTGATAGTCGAAGCAGACTTTGTGCTGTTGAGGCTAGAGAGGTGAGCAGAGTAAGCCTGATTCCCTGTTTGGGCTTCTGTTGACATCCACCCCTTGTCGCTCATATGACCTTATGCAATTGCGAGCTTAATAAAAACCTTTCTAAAACTAAATATAAATATTGCTTTCTGATTTTTACTATGACAGAGGATAAGGACAAAGACGTGGATTTGAACCAGGTCCTCTGCCTACACCAGGGAACCATGCTGCCCTACGCATTCTACAAGATGATGAAGAAGTCGAAAACCCCAGATGAGGATGAGGTTCGAGAGTACGCGGGTTTCGTCGGAAAAACTTGTGCTGAGCGAATGCTTCTGGTGCGAAAGTGATAAGTGGCAATGAGTTGGGTTTTTTTTTTGGGGGGGGGGGGGGTTGTGGTGACTTTAGCATCTGTGTTTTATTGGGGAAACTTACGCTTATGCTTTTTTTTTTACCACAGTGACCTAGAGCGATAACAACAATAACAACAACTGGATCGATAACAACGTTCAAAGTGATGATTTGCAAAGATTGTTTTTCTGATAACTTCAGCATCTATGCTTTGTTGGATAAACTCGTGCTGAGCAAAAATTAGATGCTTCTTGTTTAGAAGTGATTATTGGCAAAGTTTATCTGATGACTTATACAATTGTGGTAGTCTTAAGATATTAGCATGTCAAACTGGGAAGGGTGAGAGAGAGAGCTGTATTCTGTATTTTTTATGGGTCGCTGTATAATAAGGCCCTGTTACAAGCATCCATATATTGCGCAGACTAAAGAAAAACATGATAAGTGACTGGATCTTATTTCATGAAAAGTCTTCACGATAAAAAATACTGTTTTAAATCTTTTTCTGAAAGAAAGTTTTCAAATTTTGTAGTTTCTAGGGGTGGGGTTTAGACTCGGGCTTAACTGAAAAACCGCATAATATGGAGGTGACTGTTGTGTGTCGTAAATGAAACAAGAATTTTTCTTTCCAATGTAGGAATAATAGTTGTTTTGTTTTTTTTCTTGAATAAACCTTCAGTTGCGGGCTGTCTTTGTGATTCTTTATTGTATTTCCTGTCTGAGTGTTCGCTTTTTACATGCTGATAGATTTGTATATCGTCTGTTTAAATCTACAAAAATGTTACTGGTATCGTTTTTTAAAGACAGTGGTGTGTGTTACAACTTCACTGATGATGGAATGTGATGTATTTGTCTCCACATAAAAAAAAATCTCTCAAACGCAGTTAACTCTTTCTCTACCAAATCATTTTGCGGACATTTTTTCCTTTTATAATTGAAATCAGAAAGAAAGAATTATTTGTTATAAATTTTTTTAGACAGAGAGTCTCAAATGGGTTATATACCAAAATGCAGGGAAATGAAGTTTCTTTTAGACAATTTTTGAAAAAACCCACAAAAATAAGTAACCTGAGCATAAAGTAATTGTTTGTGTTTGTCTAAAGAATCTGGAGTGGAAGAGATTGAGTATTTGTAGAACCATGAAATGGGGCTCATGGTAGGGGATGAGTTAAGAAGTTCATGTGATGTCCCATGCTGGCTTGTGGCTTCTTCGGAGGGTGTGATCAACTGCTTGCTTCTTGTGTCTCTGTGTGTGCGTCTGTTTCTCCTTCAATTCCCAGGTCTCTATATATCATGGTAGCTCGTTTATTTGTCTACAGTGTCTGTTTCACTATTTTATCTCATAAACTCACTTCAGGCAGGTTTTAGTTTTAGAAAGAGATTTTCAGTGCTTGCAACTCGGTTAGGTCATATGAGTGCCAAAGATTAGAGGTGTTGTGTTACGAGAGAGTAGCAAACTCAAAAAAGAAAGAGGGGAGATAAGGATGATAGATGTTTGATAGGAAAGAGAAGGAGCAAACCACCACACCAGAGTACCTGCCAACCACCCCCTCAGGGATGTCTTACAGATTTGATGAAAGATAGTAGCAAAACCTCACTAGACTGAAAGGTGCAATAACAATCTACGTTTTGACGAGAATGCACATAGTGAGTCAAGTTTATCCATTTCTTTCCTGTCATTTAACTTTTTTCATGCACTTTCATATGCTCAAGCCATGAAGTAACTGTTGCCAGAGTACAAAAGCATGTAAATGTATGCATTCACATTACAAGAATGCAGCAGCTTTGTCTTCGTTTCAGACACTCGGGACATACTCATCGTGCACATTATCACCATTTGTGAGGTCTGCTGATAAAATGAGTTACTTCTCGGATGATAGCTCTGTGGACATGGTTAGATGTGTGAAATTTGTAGGTTTAGTTTACACAATTTATTACATGAAATAATAAAACGCATATTACACTTGAAGAAAATGGCACCAGTTGAAAATTTACAGGTTTAATGTTTTGATTTCCGGCCAACATCTTCATTCATGGAATGCCAGAAGTAACTCATTTTGTCGGCTTGCTTCACAATAGCTTTCTAACCTGAAATGTATTGTCAATTTTTAAAAATGTTGCTTACAATGATATTGTACGTGTATGTGTGTGGAGAATTTGAGATGGTGTGTGTGGGGGGGGGGGACAGATTGTATTAAATTCATTGGTATTCATTTTGTGTTCTAGTACAGTTCACCTACCGCACTGCTTATCTGTGATATGGGCAAACGCTGATGGTGTCAGCAATTTTTCTTTGTCTTAACGAATGCTGACTCCAAACCATGAAAGTACCTAATGATTGTAATATATTAGATGTGCAAGTACTACTAAGATCCTTATAATGTTGCTGAATAAGATTAGAGCTTGTTTTTATTGTCTCTGAAATGAATATGATATACCATTCAACAGCTTTTCTATTTTGTTGTTTGTATTGCCTTAAATGACTTAAGAGAAAAGCTTATCTACCGTTTTCTTCAGATTGTTTTGATTATACTGTCTCTAAGTGTCTTACCATTTAATGTAACAGCTTGCTCACTTGTGAGCTTTTCCATTCTGTGGTGTATGTCTGTACTTTAATAATAGTGTAGATCAATATTTATTTTAAGAGCAAATTTTCACAAGAAAGCTATCACAGAAATCATGTTGCCCATTCTGAGCTATATCTTTTTGATCCAAGTGCTGTAGATGTTGTGTGGGATGTGGATTTCATTGTCTGCCGATTTCTTTTTTGAAATGTGCCTGCAGGTTGATTTTCATTTTGATTTCAGTTTTGTGCGGGGGTAAAACATTTATGAATGTCCATGGCTCGAATCTCATACAAATTCTGTAATGTAAAATTGTTGTGGGGTGGACCTGTATCTTTTTTGTTTGTTATTTCACTGGGTGGTAATATCAGGAGCAATCAGATGAAAGACTGCTTTGTGGAAACTTATACCTTACTTTTTATGTGGAGTCGATTATAGTCTTGAGAAAGGAATTCTGTAATTGAAATGTTGATGTTCATGAATTGGTGTCTCCATGATGCCCAGTATCTAGAGCCAAGGTGACATGGCAGTGTCGCAGCAACCTAAGAGAATCATTAAAACAACACCTCAGTATTTTTTTCACAGCTTGTACTTGTAGATCATGAGACTAGGGCAATGGTAACGTATAGTAGAAGAAAAATGTAAGTTATGTCTGGAGGATAAAGTCTTTTCATTGAACAAGAACAAAAATCATTGGGATGGCCCAAAATTGTCCATCTTTAGATAGGATTTATTTTTGGCAAAAGACACATTCATTTCCTGAACCCCGCATTATTGCTCAAGATATTAATGATATATTACACACAATACCATACTCACAATAAAAGTGAACAAGTTTAGAACTTCTGATGATATCCACCAGTCTTCTACCATTATATATAGTAAGAAAAAAGTGGAAAGGGGGTGGGAGGTTGTGGAAGTTGTAATTTTTACTCCTGATAAATTAATTAGGCTAAGTATATAGATTATAGCTGTAAAACTGGAAGTTTCTTGTAATTTGTAAACAGCTCCGACAAGTGCACTAGAGTGATGTACCCAATTAGTTTTCAGGTCAGTGTGTGATACCTGGTAGATTGTTTAAATTTTACTGTCAAATCAAAAGTTTATGCTTTTGTTGTCTCGGGAATTTTTTCATGACTGTGACTGTAAATGTGCTGATGTTTTTTGCTTAATAAAGCTGGAAAGCAAAAAAAAAAAAAATGAAGTGGTTTGCTTTTGTTTTTCTGACATTGAGATTGTCTTCGTGTCATTAAATGTGTTGTTTTATGGTGGATCTCTCTTGTGTGTGTTGTGTGTGTTTGGTGCATAAGTCATTGAGTGTGACATGACAAGTGAATGCTCTTTCTGGCAGTATATGAAACCACAAGATACGCAAGTTATTTGTTTACGCGTAACTATGAATTTTCTTGGTGTCAGACGGACAATAAGAATAACACTGGTAACAAAAATTCTGAAAATGTTTAGGCTAAGGCTTGTGAATATGTTTTAAATCGTGACCAGTATGATTATTTGTAAGTTATATGTAAAATTAAAATTTTTACCTTTTGCTACTCCTTCTTTGGGCCTTGAGAGACGGAGGATCTAGGAGCTTCTGCACCAACAGAAAATTCAAAAGGCATGGATTAATATCCTGAAGTTAGCCCAGGATGGGGAAAATGAAGAATGTTTGTCAGTGGCCTATACCCTGATTCAGGGTGAGAAAGGGATGATGATGACTCTTATAAATACATCTCTAAAACTAGAAAAAACATTTTTTTGGTAAATAACTCTGACAAGTGCTCAAAAGTGATGTACCGTATCCAATCAGTATTTAGATCAGTGTGTGATGCCTTATGACAAGTAAAGCAAGCTGAACCCCAAGCCCAATATAGTAATTCATAATAAAGAAAAATCCTGGTTGAAATATATTATTATATTTCTGGTAGTGGTAGGTTCTATTTCATGTACTACTTTCCTTTCCCTTCGATGTTTCTGTCAGCTTTTTCTCTGTGACTTGACAGCACCATTATTAGTATTAGATGGACGCTAAAGTAAACTGCTTGTGGGGCTGTTAGTTACCAACTTGACCAACAGGTTCCAGGTTCAAACCTGAGTGGAGTCCCTTTTTTTTCCCTCATCCTTTCTGGAATATTTTCTCACTACCCAGTCTCCTGCCCCTCGTCTGCTACTATTATCATGTACCTGGTCAGGTGTGCAACTTAGAACTTGCCCCCCCCCCCCAAACTACACACACACACACACACACACACACACACACATACACACACCACACACGTGCACGCGAAAGAAACAGCAGCAACAACAAAATTAAGAGCAGGCTTCAACCGCCACCTAGGGACAAAATCTAAATTTCCTACCTACTGAAAATGTTTACTGTGTCCCGCGCGCTCATATGGCCTCATGCAGTTGTGCAGTTGCGAGTGCTGTAAAACACTTCTTCCCCCCCCCCCCCCCCCCAAAAAAAAAAAAGTTTATAAGTAAATAAATAAACTATAAAATAAATAAATAGATAAAAATAATTAACTAAAATGAAATAAAATAAAATAAAATATAATACAAAATTGTATAAATAAATTATTTCTTTTTTACAAAATGAAGTAATAATCCTTAGGCAGGACATATCGGGACAGGAGCGAGTAGTTGGAGAGCGCCACTTGTACCGTTGTATAGGCCCTAGTCCTGCTACTACTCGATATGTTCCTATATCAGACTCAAACCCAAACTCATCAGGACTGAGGGGTTCTCCAGCATCTCAAGAGAAAGAAAAACGGGCTGTGAATGTTTACAGCTTGGAGTTGACAATCGCAAAGCTACATAATATAATATAATATTAGAGAGGGAGAGAGAGAGAGAGAGAGAGAGAGAGAGAGAGAGAGAGAGAGAGAGAGAGAGAGAGAGAGAGAGAGGTAGGGGATAGAGAGAGAGAAAGAAAGAGAGGGAGATGCATATTATATTAGGCATATGACCTTATGCAGATACGAGAGCCGTAAAACACTTACAAAAAAAAACAAACTTACCAAACAAAACTGAATACCTGCGATAATAATGCGAATAAATAATAAGTTGGACATAATATTACACGATCTTTGATAGTAATTTACCACAACCAGGCGTGAAGAATAAACTTCCGGTTCAAATAGCACCCGTCGTATGCAGTGCGACAAAGCTAGGCCTACTCTCACTCTTCTGCTATATACCAAATTATAGACACCACTTTGTCTAGTCTGACTCCCCAGGAGTGTATATATTTTTGTATTGCTATTCTTCTAATTTACCAGGCAAGATGCCTCGGATTATGATCAAAGGGGGTGTTTGGAGAAACACCGAGGTGAGACTGATCGCGATGTGCAATGTTTATTTCGCTGTGGCTCAGTTTCCCCCGTCCCAATTATCGATATGATGCATGATCGCCCCTTCACGTCTTCTTCTTCCTTCCACTTCTTCCGCAGCCCATTGTATAGTCCTAGAATCTGTCTGATCTTTTCTTTGAATCTCTAGAATGTAGATGGATCTCTAGATCTAGATCTAGTTACAATAAGATTAATGATATGGCTGCATAAAGGATGTGTGGCCCTGCCTTTTTTGGGCACTCCTCTCCTCTCCTCCCTGAAACAAGTGAAAGTATCATGATGGCCCATGGCAAATGGATCTTTGAATGTTCCATCTGATCAACTAGTTTCCACCTTTGCCTGTGGGCTTGGTTGTGTCCCTCCTCCCTACTGATACTCCTGGCCTGGGAAGCAAGCTAAAAATTTAGGCCGGCTCTATTTCTCCAAACATTCGGGAAAATAAACCTGCACTCTATTTGAATTTCTCCGAATGGTTTCCGTTCTCGAGATTTGTAGATAATAACAAAAGCAAACGGAGAGGTGCGTGTGTGTGTGTATGGGGGGGGGGGGGGATTTTTTTTTTTAACAGGAAGGATTTTAGTTTTTGCTGGGAGAATGCAAAATAGGTTACAGCCAAGGTCGAACAGTCTTTTGTTTTCTCGCAGTACCTTTTGAAGGTATTTTCAAATGAAGTAGGCCTATAGTCTATAGATCTACGCCTGGAACGTTGCCCAACCACAACTGAAGTATCTGAATATTCAGACATTTAAAAATCTCTAGCTCTAGAAATTGAATTTGATGCAAAAAATGCTTCTTCCCAGTCCTCGCAGAATGGCAAAATGAAAGGATGACGCCTAAATCTCACAAATAACCCAAAAAATCTCGTGGTCGGGAACCGTTAGGAGAAATAGAGTTCAACTTTACTTTCCCGAACGTTGGGAGAAATACTCTCTTCGAAAAATTTTTAAGTTGTTAACAGATTCTATACGATTGTGAAAAAATGTCTTTAACTTCAACTTCAGGCAGGACTTCATCAGTGACCTTTTGTTTGGTTTTGCTTTATTTCAACGTAGTGACTATTTCTCCGATTTCTCTAGCAGTCTAGCCATATAGCCTCTTCCAAAATGTTATAATTGTCATTTGAATGAAAGGGCCTACTCCTGAGGCTGGATGTAATGTCAATCAAAGTTATTTGAAATAGATTAAATGGGAGGAATTCTGTGACTTATGAAACAGAATATTTAGAATAGAAAATAAAAGGTTAGGGTAGGGGTTGGGTTAGGTTTAGGTCTCTTACTCTTTTGACATTGTCACTATGGAAGTCTTTCCGACCAAATATTCACATTATATCTTCAAATTCAAGTAGACCCGCCCCTTTCCTCTATATTTTGATCTTCTGAGACTGAGTGGAGTCGATAAAATTTAACGAAGCAACTATTTCTCGAAACGCTCGTGAAAATAAACTTGACCTCTAGTTCTCCTAACGGTTTCTGTTCTCGAGATTTTTTTTGTTATTTGCGAGAGTTCAGCGTTATCTTTCATTCTGTCATTCCGCGATGACTGGGAAGTAAAGCATTTTTTGCATCAAATTCAATTTCTAGAGCTTGAGATTTTTAGATGTCTGAATATTCAAATACTTCAATTGTGGTTAGGGCAACGTTTCAGGACTATACTTCATTAAAAATGCCTTCAAAACAAGAGTGCTCGACTTGGCAGTGTAACCTATTTTGCATTTAGTCACCCCTAAAGCCAAAACTTTTTAAAAAATCCTTCCACCCCCCCCCCCCCCCCACCCCCCCCACAAAAAAACTCATGCACACTCACACAAACACACGCACACACACACACGGGCCACTCTCCATTCGCAAATAACCAAAAAATCTCGAGAACGGAAACTGTTCGGAGAAACAGAGTTCTAAAGTTTATTTTCCCAAGCGTTATGAAAAATAGAGCAGGCCAAAATTTAATGCTCAGTTCGGAAACGGGAAAGGCTTCTGAAAGGGGGTTCATCTCCCTCTGAGCAGGCCAAAATTTAATGCTCAGTTCGGAAACGGGAAAGGCTTCTGAAAGGGTGTTTCATCTCCTTCTGTTTATTTGATAATTTATTGCTTGCATTGACTTCACTGACTGAAAATGAATGAGTATTGGTAAAATAATTATAAAATAAAATTATAAAGAAATAAAAGTAAAAGTAAAATAGTAAAATTTAGATCGTTTTTTTTTCACCAAGCTTTGATGACTTTGATTCTCGGTTGATAATGTTTTGAACAAGTCCAGTGTGTTATGACAGTTTTGTTGTCAGTGGGTGTTTTTTTAACGACTTTTCACAGGATGAAATTTTGAAAGCAGCTGTGATGAAATATGGCAAAAACCAGTGGGCTCGAATTGCATCACTGCTTCACAGGAAATCTGCTAAACAGTGCAAGGCCAGATGGTAAGAAACTTGACAGAGGGCAACTACAAACTTACTAAATAAGCAATTATTCTTCACAGGTTTTATTTTGTCCTTGATGAACGATGGACCTGTGGTCACTATTGTCTAGAGATTAAAATGGTGTATTTTATACCCAACTTTAATAGTTCTTTTACCAACACAATATTGTGACTTACCTTCTGAAAGATTAGTACTTGTCCCAACCCCAAGGTAGGCTATACTGTTTGCAATTTATAATAGATGTAATGAGCTATTTATAGTCTAATCTTAATGGGTTTTGGAATATAATTTATATGTGTAGAGTCTTGAGTCTGGCTAAAAAGAAGCACATGATGGACACAATAACGGCCATTTAATGTATGTTGAACAAGCAAGAGTGGGACAGAGAAATATCAAAGGGAAAGCAAAGAAGTACTGTAGGACTGATCGGTGGCGCCCCTCAGCCACAGTGTGTGGAGAGTGAGCAGTCACATTGTACATGTGAAATGCCACTTACCTCTTATCATTTAGAATGGGTTTTATTGGTAGGCCATTTATTCCCTTTTCTGCTTTTAGTTTCAAACATATTTTCTCTTTTTTTCTCAGTGATTCAATAAGTTAAACTTATCAAACCGCTACCCCAGAATTACAAAATTCTATATGCTCAGTTCATAGTTATGATAGTTTTGAGAAATTTGACGTCAAAGATATTGAGCTTCACATCCTTTTCGAATGCAATTCTTTGAATGTCTTGATAGTGACTCCATGTAGTCTTACAATTTTGATAGAGCAGACAGAATATTTTGTTTCTGAAATCATGGTCTTAGTATCTCAAAACAGCCAAAAATCTCAGATAGAACTTTGTAACAAAAGGTTTACATGTTTTACAGCTTAGTGTAAATGCTTGACTTTAACTGTAACGCATCCTGCAGGTATGAGTGGCTGGACCCAAGTATCAAGAAGACAGAATGGAGCAGAGAGGAGGAGGAGAAGCTGCTTCATTTGGCCAAGCTGATGCCCACACAGTGGCGTACCATTGCGCCCATCATCGGCAGGACAGCGGCACAGTGCCTGGAGCACTATGAATACTTGCTGTATGTCGTGATTGTTGATGTTGTTATTGAGTTATTTGTGATCATTTTGAGTGATAGGATCCATTTTTCCCCAGGAAATGGATTAGGACAGAAGTAACAGTCTTATAACTCAAGAGGGGGACAGTTTTCTGCTGACGAAATTTGTCTTTGTTTAAATTTTTTGAAATGATCGAAAAAACAATGTGTTATGGATACTGTTTTCTTAAAAATTCACTTTGTTCTATTTTTGTACTGCCTTTCTTATTAAAGAGAAAATTTTATTTTCATTTGTGTGCTAGGGGCTTTAGTATAATTTTTAGAAATGTGTTGAGAACGCTAGTATCAGAGATTTCTTGCAAAACTGCTCGTTATCGAATGAGTAAAAAAAAAAAAGCACTTTAAATTATTAGTCTCTGTTTCAATTACTTATTTTCTTTGTCATATAATGCTCATTAAATTGTACCTGTAAGGATAGTTCTTCATCGGTTTCTTTCTCGTTTCCAGAGACAAGGCACAGAACCGGGAACAAGATACTGAGGATGATCCCAGAAAGCTGAAACCGGGTGAAATTGACCCCAATCCTGAGACAAAACCAGCCAGACCGGACCCTGTTGACATGGACGAAGATGGTAAGATCTTGAGCTGGATTTTGATGTATGTAGATTTCGCTGTCAAGAGATAATTGCAGGGTCTGTCTCAACAACATGTTGTCTTAAAGGATACAGCTAATCGTCATGATTGTTTTGTATTGTCCATTAGTATTTATTCCTCTTCGAACCAGTCATTTGTTTGCAGTATAATTGGATAAGATTTTGTTATTGAAAATTAATTGCATGTGTTCATGTTTTTCTAGTCAATGTTTTCTACTTTTCTATTTGGTAATGGGGCATTTCTGATGCTGTACGTTCCTGATTTCTAAAAAAAAAAGTTGTTTTTTTAGAAATTTGATTCAAGTATGCTATCAATTCATTTAATTGCAGAACTGGAAATGTTGTCTGAAGCAAGAGCCAGGCTTGCAAACACACAGGGCAAAAAAGCAAAGAGGAAAGCGAGAGAAAAACAGCTGGAAGAGGCCAGGTACTTGTCTGTTTTCAGGGGGGGTTTTTTTGTCCACCTTTTCATGTCTCAGCGTTAAAAAAAATATTTTTTTTAAGTGACCGCCCGGGGCAGTGCCACTGACTGTAGGGTCTTTAGGCCATTCCCAAAGGGGGGACATTTCTCGTTCAAGCACAGTAGAATTGTAAATGGGCTAATTCATCATGTCACGCTCATAACTGTGCCTGATCTGCAACAAGGAACTGCTGCTTTTTCTTTCCTAATCCTTACTATTGTCACTTTCCTCTACTTCTTTTGTATGTTTGTCACTCTCTTGTGAACTGCTATTTCCGGGGTGCCTTGATACTCGAAGCAGACCTTGTGCTGTTGAAGCTAGAGAGGTGAGCATAGTAAGTCTGATTCCCTGTAAGGACTTCTCTGTTGACACCCACCCCTTGGCACTCATATGACCTTATGCAGTTGCGAGCGCTGTAAAACCCTCTACTAAAAAAAAAAAAAAAAAGAAAGTGTCACTTGAGATCACATTTTCATAACCACTTAGTTGTTGCTGCTCCTCATTATACGTTATTTTGTGGCATGACAATATCTTCACTTGTTGCTCAATATGTAATCTAGATGTGCTCACTAGGTAGGGAATACGTCGAGCCAACACTGACGTGAAGTTATTGTGTACATGAGAGAGGTTGTAATGATTGAATAGACAACTTTTTTCCAAGATGTTGGTCTTACCATATAGAGTTCCTTTACACATTTGAGTGTATTGTAAGTTGAAAAGGTACTTGGTTATTACTCTTCCCCTCTTTTTTTTGTTGTGCTACTTACTGCTTGTTGTTTTTCTACAGTCAGTTGGATCATTTGTTACCCCTGTTTGCCTTGGTTCAATGTAAGTTGAGTTGAATTCTGGGTGGCTGGCGGGTGCTCTGGTGTGGTTTGCTCCTTCTTTCCTATAAAACATCTATTGTCCTTATCTCTCCTCCTCCTTTTTTGTGAATGTTACTCTCTTGTGACACACGTTATTGTGTTGCAAGTGCCGTAAAACTCTTAATAAAACTTACTGATTTGAATATCTATTTTTCTTTTCCAGGCGTTTGGCATCGTTACAAAAGAGACGAGAGCTGAGAGCAGCTGGCATTGCGTAAGTTTAATTTCTATTTGGGCCCTAAATTAACATACATGTGTCCTTTGTTGCATCATTGCAGACAAAATGCAGTGGTATTCTTAATTTTTGATAAAGCTGTTTTTGTCTCAATGATGTAATCACTTAAGATATTCATTAGCTTTAGATATATTTCAGTGCTGAGTTTTATTAATGCTGTAAGAACATAAGTTTGTTACAAGTTTGTTTGTTTTAGTTTTTGTACATATTGTGCTTGATTCCTGATAAATGGTGTATGCAGTTATCATTTCATTAACATTGTATATCTTATTTGTACCCAAAATCGAAATGTTTGCTTAGTTCAGTTTGAGAAATAGAGTCAACATATAGTTACGTAAGTTGCATAATATTCTACAGAGTGAAACTAAAGCGCAAGAAGAAGAGAGGTGTGGACTACAATGCTGAGATTCCGTTTGAGAAGACGCCAGCTCCTGGATTCTACGACACGTCGCAGGAAGTGTTTGATCCGCTCAATCCGAACTACAAACGCCTCAGGCAACAGAACCTGGACGGAGAACTGAGGCGGGACAAAGAGGAGGTGAGTAAAGGATACTCTGTATTTGGAGGGCTCTGTGACAAAAGGCATTATACCCCAGATTAGTCAGAAATGACAAATTTGTCCAGGTTTTCATTTCTTTTTCTGTTGTTCAATCTTTAAAGCATGTCCATGATAATTCCATCAGTGGGTCGAAGCGTAATGGACAGACCGTTCACACACCAGTGGGAGGTGTGTCCCCTCTTAATGGAAAATAGAACGCATATGCATCTACGCTCCGGTCTAAGTGTGTGACCTATTTTTTTGGTGATTATTTTATTTCCTTCCTTCTTTCTTTTTGTACCAGCGTATTGTCCGTATTCTGTGTGTTTGAATGAACAAATTTTTGTCTTGTATTTGGTTAAACTTGTACAATAACTAATGAATGAAGCCCTCTTCATTTCTTCCTTTTACTGCCAATCAGGGGGCTCTCGTGGCCTAGAGGTTAAGGTGTTTGCCTCTCATTGAAAGGTCCCGGGTTCGAGTAGCGACGGAAAAATTTACTTCTTTAAAATTGTCTCCTTTCACCTCCTTTCCTGCTCTCTAGCAATATTGTCGTCTGTTGTCGTCTCCACTTTCTGCCCCCACCCCCTCACCTCCTTTGCCCCCTCCTCTGGGCTCCTGACTCTTTCTTTCAGACTTTCTACTGCTACTCCTTGGCTCCTTCTTACTGCTGTTTTTCCGCCTCAACCCTGATCTTCCGTAGGAAAGATCTACACCTAGCTTTCTCGGACAAGGGCGAAAAATTTTGGAGGTCCTGTGTGCAAGTTGTGCTCGTTAAAGATCCCTTGGTGGTTTAAAATTGATAAGAGTAGGCTTCGGCCGCCACGCAGGCGAAATTTAAAATTTCCTACCAACTGAAAATGTTCAATGTGTCCCACGTGCTCATATGACCTTAAGCAGTTAGGAGTACTGTAAAACACTTACAAACCAAAAAACAAAAACAAACTGCCAATCATATGAATAAACTAATTCCCGCTCCTAGTAAGGTGCTTCATCACTGAAAATGATACCCTTCTTTTCCTTTCCTATAGAAGGAAAATGCTTGGAGCTGTGTTCCTTCTTTTATACTTTTTTTTGGTTAGATTTCTTCTGTAGTTTATGTAGACATTCTTTTTTTATTGAAGCAAAGTGTGAGAAATATATATTATGCAATGAGTCAGTTCCAGGAGTTAAGTCTTATTTGATCATCCTTTGTTGTATCAGTTTAATGGGGTTTTTTGTTTTTGTCTTTACCCGTGGTCTTTATTTCATGGATATCCACTTCCCCATGATTCAACAGTCTGTTGTTAATGTTATTTCTGTTGTAACTTTTTTCAGAAAGAGAGAAAGAAAGACAAACAGAAGCAGAAGAAACGTAAGGAGAATGATCTTCCAGGGTCTATTGCCAGTCAAGCAAAGTGAGTCTAAAATCAATTCATCTTCATCATCATCATCATTGCCTTTCTCACCCTGCACCAGGGTTTAGGCCACGGACAATAAAATCAATTGATTTTAGTTTAATTCAAAGTTTCAAACTGTTTTTGATTGATTGAATGATTGATTCATTGAGTGAGTTTAGAATGCACTGATGAGTCATTACTGGATGAATGTTTGTCGTTTTGGCTTATTTGGCTGTTGATGTGACTGATACATACAGGCTGTTATTATATCAAATCCTAGTTGGGCAAATTTTTCTGGTGCCTTTTAACACTTGTTTCTTTTTAAGGACCTAAGGCTAATTGTTGCCATTGCAAAGAAAATGAGTAACTTCCAATTCTTTTTCTCATCCTGTAAAGTGGGATCAAACAGTTACTCTTCTTTATAGTGACTGCAACAAAATGTGTTCCTTTAAAATGATCGAGTAGTACCCAGCCTCACTGTTGGAGATAAATAGTAAGCTCAAAATACTATATTTATGTTACATTTCCTGCGTATAATTTATCCTCATAGTCTGGCTTGAAAAGGGTTTTTTAATTATCTTTTTAAATGTTTGGTCTGGGTTGTTGTTTTTTTACTGATTCTTTTCATTCTTGTGCTAGCAGCTAAATGGCGTAAAGCTTCTCATTGTACTGTAAAATCTAATTTGTTACCTGAGAATAAAAAGCTTAGGTCATCTTCAAGGGTTTATTCATTTTTTTAGATAGTTAAGATCCCTTGCCTTTATGTTGTGCATATCCTTTCTCGAAAGTAGACTCTACATGTTTCATACTATTTTTTAGTGCCCTGACCACAGAGTGCTCAAACACTACAGCATACAGAGATCATTCTCTGTCTCTGTCAGGACCCCTTTCTCATGTGTGTGAGGTAAAGACAATTCATGTGTCACATCTTTTTCAGAGGAACATTGCCAGGCTCGAACTGAGTTTTGTTCCTATGGCGTCACAGAATGTGTTTTTATTTGTTTAAAAACTTTCTTTGATGCTTGATGTTTTTACGTGCATGTGCAGTTTTGCCGAGCCAGTCAAGAAGAGAAGCAAGCTGGTGTTGCCAGCTCCGCAGATCTCGGAGGAAGAACTAGAGGAGGTGGGTAGTTTTTTCCATTGATATGTCGTGCATGAAGATAGAAAAATAATAATAAGTACCTCTTTATCTTAAAGTTTTGGAGAACACATGCTATAAATTGGAAATAAGAGTCTGTTAATCTCCTGACTTACTTTAACCTTTCAATTTAGTTGAGCTGTATAGTCAGTTTGTGCCAGCATCCTTCTGTGAAGTAAATGTAGTATTTAGAGTGTTTTCTAGGTCAAGATCAGGTGGGAGGTACAATGTCATGTGGCCAAAGTTTATTTGTCTTTGGATCACTTAGTTACTTGTTTTAAAGAAAGATTTGAAAGATCTTATAAAGAAATCTTAGAAACCAATATTCTGGTGGAGAAAGCTAAGTACAATAATGGGTTGACTGGTTCACTTATAAAGTGGAAACCTGAAAAATAATAAAGGATTGACTTGTATGCTCTTAAAATTGATATCTAAAAATGATGAAAGATTGTTGTGATCACTCACAAAGTGGACTTCCATAAGAGGCAAAAGGTTGATCCATTCACTCATTTAGTGAAAATCTGGCAATGATGACAGATTGACTTTGCTAGCTCATAAAGGTGAAGTCTAAAAATGACAAAGCATTGACCCATTTCCATGGTAAAGTGGAAATCTTAAAATGACAATGGATTGGATTGGGTTTGTTTGTTTCTTTTCGCTATGTAGGTAATCAAAGTGGGACAGGCCAACGAGTACGCCAGGCAGCAGGTGGAGGACTCTGGCCGCGACGACTCCGCCTCCAAAGGTCTACTGCAGGACTACAATCTCACCCCGGGCAACGTCAATCTCCGCACGCCCCGCACACCCGCTGCGCAGGACACCATTCTGCAGGTCAGAAGTTCTGTTAGTGACATAATTGCCTTCAGGCGGTACCAGCAATATTGTGTTTTTGTTATTGTGTTATTAACTCACTGAATGGTCTTTTCTCTGTTCAATTTTAATTGTGTTAGTTCCTTACAGAATGTGCTCTTTCAATATTTAACTTATTTAACTGCCTGACTCGGAGTGAGTTGTGTGCATTGCATTGAAAAAGGTTCCTAACCTGAAACATCTTGTGTAGATTTCTTGTGTGGAGGCTTTTTACACTAGCTTTTTTATATTGTTAGGTTGTTGGGTTTTTTTCATGTGGTCTAGCCTAGCGTCTTCAGTGCCAGATCTGAGACCATAATGAGCTCATTGGTAGGATTGTGAAGTAGGCCTGGCAGCGAAAGGGTTAACAGCTTCAATAGTTTATTCACACTACTTTGTTTTGTTTCTCCAGGAGGCTCAGAACATCATGGCTCTCACCAATGTGGACACGCCCCTCAAGGGAGGGCTCAACACGCCGCTTCACGAGAGCGACTTCAGCGGAGTTACGCCCAACCGCCAGGTCTCCCAGACGCCAAACACGGTCCTGGGAACACCGATGAGGACCCCGGGACACCCAGAGTCCGGTAAACTGGACAAACTTTTTTGACATTATGGCTGCTTTTGTGGATTATTTTTCTCATAGTTTACAGATTTACAGTGCTTTCAGTCTTGTGTGTTTTTACAGAAATCTGTGATGTTTTAGGTGCAGATAAAGAATTGGATAAAATAAGATGAACACTTGGTGAAAAAATAGATAGCCTAATTTGGGATGTTGGCATATCTTCAAAAGGGCTTCCAAATGCTATGTTCAATTTTGTAATAGTACAAACTTTCAATTTCTTCAAGCTCCCAGCATAAAATTTTCATTTCATTTCTGCTTTGTCTGTTGGAAGCAGCAGTATGTTTAAAACCTGGTGGCTCTTTGACTATAATGCTAATTTCAGCTTTTGACCAAGCTTTTGAAAGGTTGAACCTACTTCTTTTCTTTCCCTCTGTTGTTTCTGTCCAGCTGTCTTATTCTTTCCCCAAGATAGATAGCCTAATTTGGGATGTTGGCCTATCTTCAAAAGGGCTTCCAAATGCTATGTTCAATTTTGTAATAGTACAAACTTTCAATTTCTTCAAGCTCCCAGCATAAAATTTTCATTTCATTTCTGCTTTGTCTGTTGGAAGCAGCAGTATGTTTAAAACCTGGTGGCTCTTTGACTATAATGCTAATTTCAGCTTTTGACCAAGCTTTTGAAAGGTTGAACCTACTTCTTTTCTTTCCCTCTGTTGTTTCTGTCCAGCTGTCTTATTCTTTCCCCAGCACCTAATTTCTAGTGGTTAGAGTGCACCATAGTAGGTTATACTTTTATCTATCCCTCTTTGATTTCTGTCTGTCTTATTTTTTCCTTGCACTGAATGACCTTTTTTGTGTTAATTTGCTTCTCTTTCCTCATACTAAAAAAAAACCCCAACTCAAAGGTTTATCACATTCTTGACCTTCACAGGTATGACCCCACGGCAAGGCGGTGGTTTCCAGAGGCCCAACACTGACCAGTCCACCCCAATGTCCACTCCACTCAGGGATAAGCTCAACATCAACGAAGACGATGAGATGAACGGAGGGAATGTGTATCAGGTAGGACACGACTGTATTGTGTTGTTCTCTCTCTCTCTTCTGGCGCTGTGGTGTCATAAACGGTCAGCAATGCCGACAGCATGTTGTGTTGTTGAGAGGAGATGGGTGGTGGGAATGTATATGAAAGTATAAGAGATAGGGTAAGTCTTAAAAGCGTTTATCATACTTTCAGTAGTTGAGTTTATAAGGCATCTTCCACATCATTTTAAGGTAATATGGTCTGTATTTTTTATTTCATTAAAACAAACTATTTTGGAGCTGGGTTGTTTTTGTTTGGGGTTGTTGTTGGGTTGTTGTTGTTTTTTTGGGGGGGGGTTCAGTTTTAGAATATATTGTTCATGTTTTACATAATTAAAAGTTAACATACGTCATGTAAAGAGTTGTTTCTGTAACTCAGACATGATGAACTCTTTTGTACTATTTCAGCAGGTGGATCAGATGGACCTGCTGAGGAGAGGGCTGGCCGGCCTCCCCACCCCCAAGAACGACTACGAGATTGTGGTGCCGGAGGATGAGCAGGGGGCGGAGTCTGGTGGCCAGGGCGGTCGGCCCGCGGTGGAGGACCAGGCCGATATTGACGAGAGGGCCGATTCGGAGCGGGAGCGACTGCGACAGGAAGAGCTCAAGCTGAGGTCGCAGGCCGTGCAGCGAGAGCTCCCGCGGCCGTTTGACGTCAACACAAACATCATGAGGCCCTCGGGGCCCAACGACCAACCACTGACGGAGCTGCAGAAGGTCAGAGCTCTACTTTTGTTACCGTTAGATATAAATGCTGTCAACCACAAATGAGTCTTCTTCTCGATCGTATCACACTTGAAGTCCGGTATCTGTCATATATGGCTGTCCTGCTCAGTTCATCTGTGTGCTCGTACAGCTTCTCCTATAGTGTCAGTGGTTCAATTACCTCTCACAGCCTTGATAGTTTGCCAGCTGTGATTGACTGCAGTACTGACATGGCATCTGTTAAGAATACTACTTGGCTTTTGGGGGTCTACCACATTTTTAAAAAAAACATACGAGCTATGTCTACAGAGCTGTCAAGGGTTCAGCGGGTGAAATAGACGATCAAGGTTTTATTTATGAGGGTGTGATGTTGTTTGTTTTCCTGCAAGAACACTACGTCCAGGTAAATGCCCATATAAAGATCTGAAACGTGTTTGAAAGCTGCCAAAGATAACACAACTTTACCCTGGTTTTTACACTGTACCAGGACTTTGTGACATTTCTTTGGCTTTTTTTTTGCAGAATAGTAGTAACTGCCCCAGTAGTTCTCTAGTATCTAGCTGTCTCCCTGAGACAAGTTCCTGTCAAGTGTCGCTTTCATCATTTGTACTTATCTTTTAGACAGTTTACCTCAAACGTAGTCAGGTTCTTTGATTTTGACTCTTCCTCCTTTTCGTTCTATTTCTTCTGTTCCTCCTCTTCCTCCTCCTCCTCTCCTTTCTGCAGCAGCTGCTTTAATCATGAGTTACCTCGACTGACTGTTCTTCCTTCTCCACATGGAATATTTTCATATGCTCACCCTAATAAGGAAGAACCCATTGACATTTGACTTCTCACTTTGTTGAAAACAATTCAAAAGAATACAGTATCTTTTTGTGTTTTGATCTGCTTCTTCTCAAATTTGAAAATTTCATTTCTTCCCTGACTCTTTGTACACACAAGACTTCAAACAGACAGTTGTGTCATTGAAAAACTGCTGCTCAATTCACAATCTACTTCTGGAATTTTCCGTTAATTTTCTCAATCTTTTGTTTTCGCAGGCTGAAGAGCTGATCAAACAGGAAGTGCTGATCATGCTGCACCACGACGCCGTCTTTTGCCCGACAGACTCGCAGCTCGGAGCGGGCGGGGTGAAGGGACAGGCTCCACAGAAGGCAGCGGCCAACCAGGCTGCTCATTTGGCTTACCTGGACAAAAATCCGTACACAGAAGTGGACCAAGATGACATGGAGAAGGTGTGCTTTTTTTACCCCCAATGTTATGCCCCGTTTGTTTGTAGATCGTATTTCTCTTCCCCCCCCCCATCTCTTGGTGGTTCTAAACTCGAAAAGAGAAGGCCCTTTGGTTTGTTAACTACAGCCACTCTTGTCAGTGTGATTATTTAAGAGAACCTTTGAAAACAGCACATGGCTGCCTGTCAGGCAAGAGGTGATTCTACGTTCATGTACATTAAAAACAACTGCACTGTGAGGTGGAGATCTTAGTCAGTTACTCCCTGAGTTGTAGCAGGAGTGTGAGAAGAAGAAGGAGTACAAAGCATAAAGTTTAATTGATACTCAAAAGTTCATGTGTCTTTTTCACAAGAAGGTTCGTATTACTTCCAAGTAGCTCGCCTTAGTGTCTATAGCACTTACTTGTTCATTATAACATGTACCGAAATTTGTTTGGGACATGCATGCAGTGATTCAGCCTGATGCATTTCTGTCATTGACAAATTATTTGATTTTATTTCAACTAATTGTCAAATGATTTTGTTTCTTTTTGTCTTTGCCTGCCCAGGCTCGTGAGATGTTGCAGAAGGAGATGCTGGTGGTGAAGGAAGGAATGGGGCACGGGGAGCTCTCGCAGGAAGCTTTTGCTCAGGTTGGCTTCTATGAGTACTGTTGTGTTATAACTGATATTCAGTCATCTTTCTCTTGTCTATATGTCTTTGTATATGAAACTGAATTGAAAAAAAATAAATTTAACATTAAAAAGAACATTTCTTTGATTTTTGTATTTGCCTTTTTTGCTTCTAATGTGAGTTACTTTGGTTAAATTTAACCGTGAAGGGAAAAATGAAAATGTCCTACCACTTTTATTATTTTCATATGGAGTTCACTTTCTTCACAATATTTGGAGTTTGTTTTTTTTAGTTTGCTTTTGATTTTTTTATTGTCAGGCAAAACCCCCAGTTTTAATTTGTACAACTGTTTTACTTTTTTTCTGTGGCCTTCAGGTGTGGGAGGAGTGTTACTCGCAGGTGCTCTTCCTGCCTGGCCAGAACCGCTACACACGAGCCAACTTGGCAAGCAAGAAGGAGAGGATCGAGTCGCTGGAGAAACGACTGGAGGTCAGTTGGTGCGCTGGCAGTTCACGCCGACTCAAGGCTCTCTCTATACTATGTTTGTGTCATGCTGGAAATGTTATAACATTTTTTTCCGAAACGTCCACTTCTGTCTGTGAATGAACAAGAACTTATCAGTATATATAAACCAGGGAGAAACCTCAGATCATCAAATGATAACACCCTACTTGTGACACCTGTCAAATCATTCAAATCATATGGAGAGAGATCTTTCTCATATCTTGGTCCATTTATATGGAACAGATTACCCATGAAACTAAGACAAATAAGAACACTTGATAGCTTCAAAAGACATCTTAAACATTTTCTGTTCCTACAGGCCTATCCTTCATAAGCTTTTCACGTTATCTTTCATTATAGTTGTTCTGTTCCTATGTCTGGATGAAAATAGTCTGTGTGTATGTGTGTGTGTGCTTTAATGTATATTGCATGAGAAGAAAGATAGTAGTAAGAGAGGTTTTTGAAAAATGAGTATTCCAATGTAAAGCACATTGAGCTACTTTTTTAGAAATGCGCTATATAAATGTTATTTATTATTATTATTATTATTATTAATGAATACACCACGAAAACACCAGGCACTTTCTCTTCAGTCCTGTGTCATTGGAAAGTTAAGACATTTTTATCTCCCAGAGATTGATGAATGTTGGTAGATGAGGTACACCTTGAAGAATAATATTTATTTACTTTACTTAAAGTACAAAGGAGGAGATTGGTCAGGAGGCATCACTTTAAGGTTTTGTTTCTTTACTTTCTCTTCTTTCTGCCTGTTACTGTTTTTCCATTGTACTGAGTCACTTTCTTTGACACGTGCAGCACAAACAAAATTTTATTTTGCCCGAACTTAGAAATCATAATCGGAAATCTTTCCCTTTTTTTTTTTGCCGGGGGGGG